GCTCACAAGGCGCGGTGATCATGCCAGGTGTGGACCAGGGTGGCTGGTCCGTGGTCACCTGAAGGCGAGCACGTGTCCAAGGGAGGTCTGCCTGGGGCCACCTGCCCGGTCACCTGTCCTCGGACGGGACGCCTCCCGCCTCTCTGAGCCTCCAGGCTGACTTGATGGTCCCTCCTCAGTACTGTCTGCCTCCCGAGTCTATGGAAGACCACCGGGGCGGGGGAGCCTCCTGGGTCTCCCGGCCTCAGCTGGGGCCCGTCTTGGGGTACAGGGGGAGGTGATGATGACGTGGAAGCTGAGCCCCAGCTCTGCCCTCGCTGGCTGTGTTTCAGGGAGATCCAATTTCCTTCCTCTGTAAGATGGGGACCCGGATCAGTTATCTACTGCTGTGTGGCAAGTCGCGTCCGGAACTTAGCGGCTTAAAGCAGGAGTCCCCACTCTCCGGGATTTAATGCCTGATGATCAGAGGTGGAGCTGATACTAGAAATATAGTGCACAGTACATGTAATGAGCTCAAATCCTCCCGAAACCATCCCCGCTCCCAGCCCTGTCCCAGTCTAGGGAAAACTTCTCTTCCACGAAACTGGTCCGTGGTGCCAGAAAGGCCAGGGACCGCTGGCTTTAATGGGTCAGTCATTATATACTGTCTCCTGGTTTCCGTGGATCAGGAGCCCCCTAGCTGGTAGCTCTGGTCCGTGTCTCTCGTGAGGCTGTGGGCAGATGTCGGCAGGGGCTGCAGTCACCCGAAGGCCTCCCCGGGGCTGGAGGACTTGCCTCCCCAGGATGCCTCACGTGGCTGCCGGGCCTCCTCGCAGGCTGCTCCTATGTCCGCACGGGCGGAGCAAGTGATCCTGTCCTGGACGTCTCGCCCCTTCCCTTCCCTGGTATCTTGCAGGCCACCCGGGTCAGCCCTGTTGGAAGTGGAAGGGCATGCACACCGTGAGGCAAGAACCACCGGGGTCTGGGGACAGGTCTTGGAGGCTGCCTGCCAAATGCCACCACTTGTCTGCTGCCTAATCTGTGGACCGGGACCGCCTCCCAACTCCTGGGAGCCGTCAGGTGCTGCGAACAAGAGGCGCGGGGCAAAGCTGTAGGCCTGGAGCCTCGCACTTACTAAGCGCTCACAGAGGACAGCCTCTCTCAGGGTACCACCGCCATCGGCTCCCACAAACGCTGGAGGGACCCCGACTGGCTGAGAGCCCTGCTGACCAGCGGGGGGCCAGGCGGGTCCCTTCTGTCCATGAATGGAAACGAGAAACAGGCATTGCCGGTTTTTTTTTTTTCGTTTTCTCCTTCTTCTTAAGGTTTTAAACACCTAATTTATTCCATCCATTAGATAGATTTTGTAGATTTAATCATTTTCACAGTTGGTGGCTCATTGGATACTCAAGATAAACTCCAAATGAAAGTATAATGGTGAGGACAAATGAGTTTTCACACCACAATGGCAGAAACTTGCTTGGGAAGAGAGTTTAAGGGGAACAAAAATACATACAGATATCATTTTTTTCCCCCGGCAGCCGCTTTTGCTGACTATAGTAGGTTACCACAGTTAATTTCACCAGTTTTGTTCATCTGTAAAATTGCATAAAAGTGACATTTTTGTGCTCATTATAGCAACTGCTGATTTATGGCTGGTAAATGAAGAACTGGGCCCTTTTTTGTGGGACTCTCCGAGCGGCGCTAAGTGCCCATGAAATTGCTTGTATAATGTAGTTTAAATCCAATCTCGGAGAAAGATTCCCCCGTTGGCCAAAGTGACATTTCCATTCTCCACACCGAGTTTATTTTAGGCCACTTGTGGGGGGTGGAGGCGGTTGCCCCAGGCAGGGTCAGGATGGGGGACCTGGGGTCAGCTCCAGCCGCCCTGCTCTCATCGGGGCCACAGGGATGGGTGGGTACTCAGTCACCAGCCTCCTCCTTCTCCACTGCCCTGCCCAGCTCAGGGCAGAGGAGCACGGTCCTCCTGATACACGGTCTTTCTGCCCTGCCCCTCCCCAGCTGAGAACTTTCCATGGATGCCGAGGCCTTAGCCCAGGGCTCCCGACACAGCACGGCTGACCCCGCATCCAGGCAGTTCCTTGTGGCCGGGTATCTGTCCTGGGCACCGCATCCCTGACCGGTACCCACGAGGGCCATAGGGCCCTCTCCCCACGTTAGGACGACAGAACTCGTCTGCGGACGACAGGGCCAGTGTGCGCTGGGGACAGAACCATCGGGAATTCCTGCCCCACGGTGAAGAGGCCCTGCTCAGGGCTGACGCCCTCCTGAGCGGCCCGGGGTGGCCTTTCCTCCCCGCACGCCTGCCCTATGCTGCTGCTCCTGCTCTGGTTCAGCATCCCCGCGGGGGCAGGCCGCCTCGCCTCCGCACCTTTGCCCGTGACTTCTTCTGCCTGGAATCCGTTCCTCTCCTCCTTCCTCACCCCTTCAGCCCTGCCCCAGCAGAGACGCTCTTCTCTTCCAGAAAGCTGTCTCTGGAGCCCCCGGGGGTGAGGCTCCCTGTGTGTCCCCATCATAGCACACGGTTTGCTCAGATAGGCTGTGAGTCCTCGAGGGGGTCTGCCTGCCAACGTGGGAGATGTGGGTTCGATCCCTGGGTCGGGAAGATCCCCTGGGAGAAGGGAATGGCAGCCCACTCCAATGTTCTTGCCTGGAGAGTCCCCTGGACATAAGAGCCTGGTGGGCTACAGTCCTTGGGGCCACAAAGAGTCAAGACACAATTTAGTGACTGAGCACATATGCTCACATCTGGAGGGATTGGGGTGAGGCTTGGGGAAGGTGGGATGTGGCGGGTGACATTCCCATTGGTGGGGAGGTGGTGGGGCTTGCACTCTGTGCCAGCCACGATGCCAGGCCCACCTGTGCACACACCTGCCCCTTCCTCTCCAGGGAAGATCCTTGTTGTGCCAGGCAGATGGGGAGGGTCTTAACACACGTGGAGAGACCCACTTCTGCTGAGGCTCCACCACCTGATTTGTTAAACCTCACAGCGGCCAGGGAAGGCAGTGTTAGCAGCAGCATAAACCCATTTTACAGGTGAGGAAACTGAGGCTCAGGGTGGTGAACCCCTCACTCCCCTCCCTCAGGACTCACTGTTGGGCTCCAGGGGATGCCCTTGGTGGGGTGGGGGCGGGGGAGGCAGTGCGTCATGAAAACTTGTTGGGTCCTCCTCACCCAAGGGCCCAGCCAAGTCTCAGTCTCCCAGCACCTGCTGTCCGCTGCACCCCCAGGGGGCCCCTTGGCACAGACGTTCCCTGAGGCCGCCCTACAGACCTGGCACAGTCATCCCCATTCCATAGGTGGGGAAACTGAGGCTCAACCAGACCAACCACTTGTCCAGGACCACAGAGCCCCACAAGCAGGCAGGACCCCCACCCAGGCTGCCAGCTCCAAAGCCCTGAGTCTCTCCACCCGCCTCCTGCAGGCCCCTCGCCTCTCTCCCCACCCCAGAGAGGGCCTCAGACAGCGCTGAGCAAGGTCTCGGGACCGGGAGGGACTGGGGTGGGGGGAGACGGGGGTCTGCCCACCGGCCACCTGCTTCCCCCCCCCCGACAGTGGGGACAGCCGGTCTGTCACACAGAGGACGCCCTTGAGGGAATCCCTAGTGGTCCACTGGTTAGGACTCGGCGCTTTCACTGCCAAGGGCCTGGGTTCAATCCCTGGTCACGGAACTAAGACCCCACGTGCAGCACAGCATGGTCCAAAAAATAAATAAAAAATTTAAAAATAGAGTGCACCCTTCAGCTGAGAGGCTGGTGGCCCAGATAAAAAGGCAAGGGCTCCCACACTAGTCTAGCAGGTGACAGGTGGTAGACCGGGGAGGGGACGGGCAGCCGTCAGGGCAGAACCCCCCCTCCCTGGCTGCCTGTTGGTTGAATGAGGGACCGTAAGCACCAGGACAAAAGCCAACAGTGGCAGCTCGCCCCACGCCAGGCACGTGCTGGGCTGTTCACACAGCAACCCACGGAACCCTCCCTGAGGCTGCGGGTCGTCATCACCCCATTCTATAGACGAGGAAAGGGGGGCACTGAAGGAAGGAACACCCACGAGGGGTGTTACGATGAAAGATGGCGCCAGGAGGGTGGGGTGGAGGGGTGGAGCCCCCAGAACACCCAGTATGGCGGTGGGGGTGGGGGGGTTATGTGCAGAGCCGGCAGGAGATGCGGGTTGGATCCCTGGGTCGGGAAGATCCCCTGGAGGAGGAAATGGCAACCCACTCCAGTATTCCTGCCTGAGAAACTCCATGGACAGAGGAGCCTGGTGGGCTACAGTCCATGGGGTCGCAAAGAGCCAGATACGACTGAGCCACTTAGCACGCACGCGCACACACCAGAAATGACCCAAAAGCCACCAGCAGTAGGAAGGACGAGCAGAACGTGTCCTGCAGTCACACTGCAACACCCCTTGGCCACAGCTCCCCCATGAACCTGAAAAAGTAACCTTGAGTGGGACAGACGGGACAGTGTATGATCCCTGCTCACCTGTGCCGACACCAGGAGCAGTCAGGATTTCAGAGGGCCGTCCCCTTGGTCCCCTTGCTGTGGTTCCTGTCTGAGGGTGGGCATAGGGACTGCTCGGGGGACTGGCCACTGGCCCCCCCTTCCCCGACCTGAGTGCCACACAAGTGTGTTCCGTGTGTGAAAGTGCAGCAAGTCTGTGATGTGCGCAATTTCCTTGATGTACTTTGCGCTGTGATGCATAGCTTAAAAATTTAGAAAGGAGTACTTTCCCGGAGGTCCAGTGCTTTAAGACTGTGCTTCCAGCTGCAGGATCCCTGGGTTCGATCCCTGGTCGGGGAACTAAGATTTCACATGCCACACTGGTATGGCCCAATTTTTTTTTTTTTTAATTTAAAAAATTTGAATGAATGAAGGAGCAAGTAAGGGGCTGGAAAAAGCAAAGGAGGGGCGGCTGGGGAGCCCTTCCAGGGAGCCATAGGGGGTGCGGCCTGCAGGCCGGCCCTCACCTGTGCGTCCTCCCCTCCCCATGTGCCCCTGCAGGCGAGACGGTGGCCAGCTCCATGCATTCCTCCCGCTACCCGAGCCCGGCCGAGCTGGACGCCTACGCCGAGAAGGTGGCCAACAGCCCGCTCTCCATCAAGATCTTCCCCACCAACATCCGCGTGCCCCAGCACAAGCACCTCAGCCGCACGGTCAACGGCTATGACACCAGCGGCCAGCGCTACAGCCCCTACCCGCCGCACACGGCCGGCTACCAGGGCCTGCTGGCCATCGTCAAGGCGGCCGTGTCCTCCTCCTCCGGCGCAGCCGCGCCCGCCGGGCCCGCCAAGAGCGTGCTCAAGAGCGCCGAAGGCAAGCGGACCAAGCTGTCGCCAGCCGCCGTGCAGGTGGGCGTTGCGCCCTACCCGGCGCCCAGCACTCTGGGGCCCCTGGCCTACCCCAAGCCGCCTGAGGCGCCCGCCCCGCCGCCCGGCCTGCCCGCGGCCGCGGCCCCCGCCGCCGCCGTCATCCCCCTGCCCGGCCGCGGCCTGCCCCTGCCGCCCTCCAACCTGCCCTCCATCCACAGCCTCCTCTACCAGCTCCACCAGCAGTGCCAGGCCCCCGGCGCCGCGCCCGCCGCCTGCCAGGCCGTGCCTGGGCCCCCGCCCAGCCCGGCCAAGCACGGCCCGGTGCCCGGCTTCCCCCGTGCCGCCTACTCGGCCACGGCCGGCCCGCCCGAGTGCCGGAAGGGCGCCGAGCTGGGCCAGGGGAGCACGCCGGCCGCCTTGACGTTGGCCGGGGCCGCCAAGCCCGCGGGCTACGCGGACGGCGGCCTGGATTACCTGCTCTGGCCCCAGAAGCCGCCCCCGCCGCCGCCGCCCCCCCAGCCCCTGCGGGCCTACGGTGGCGGCGCGCTGGCCAGCAAGTCCCCCGAGGCCTGCGGGGGGCGGGCATACGAGCGGGCCAGCGGGTCGCCCCTCAACTGCGGCGTGGGGCTGCCCGCCAGCTTCACCGTGGGCCAGTACTTCGCTGCCCCCTGGAACAGCGTGCTGGTGACCCCCACCAGCGACTGCTACAACCCCGCGGCTGCGGCGGCTGCGGCAGCAGCGGCGGCGGCGGCGGCGGCCGGGACCGAGCTGGGGCCAGGGGCGGCCCGGGAGCTGGCGGGGCCCCCGGCCGAGACCCTCTCGGGCCTGCCCAGCAAGAGCGTGTGCAACACGGCCGTGCTCAGCAGCAGCCTGCAGTCGCTGGAGTATCTCATCAACGACATCCGGCCGCCCTGCATCAAGGAGCGCATGCTGGGCAAAGGCTACGAGACGGTGGCCGTGCCGCGGCTGCTCGACCACCAGCACGCCCACATCCGCCTGCCGGTCTACAGATAAGGGCGGCGGCACCCGCACCGACCGACGGGCCGAGGAGGCAGGGGTGGGCGGGGAGAGGCAGGCCGCAGAACAGGGTGGGCGGCACGCGGGGCGGTGGGGATGGGGACAGCCCGGCCCCGGGTCCGAGTGCCCCCCACCCCGATGCCCACAGGGAAGCCAGGCTGGCGGCCCGCCAGCTGCCGCCGATGGGGAGTTCGCCAGGTGACCTCTCGCTCGCCGATGCCTCTACTCACCATCTGCTGCCCCGGCCCACCCCCCGGGGAGGCCTAGGGGCAGCCGCCCCCCAGGTCCATACCTCCCTCCATCCAAGCTGGCAGAGGCCGGGAGAGAAAAGAAGCGGTTCTTCCCGGCTGTCCAGGAGAGGGGCTCAGGCCTCAGTGGGGCACAGGAGGAAATGTGATGGTCTGGGGGTGGGGGTGGGATCGGAGCAGGCCCCTCTCCCCGGGCTTAGCTCCTCCCTCTTGAGGTCCCCGTCTCCAGGAGAAAGAGCAGAGGGGGCCCACAGCGCCCCCCCACCCCCCCCCCCACTGCCTACTCCCAGTGAAGATCAGACTACAGCAGGCTCCAGAGAATGCTGGTCCACCTGCTCCTCCACTTCTAGATCCTCTTGCCCTCCCCACCATGCCTTCCCCACACAGAATCCCATCTCCATTCTTCAAACCCTGGACCACCACCTTCCCCTTTCCCAACAGGACCTCTTATGGGGGGGCTGCCGGGCACAATTGTGCAGGTTGTGTACTGCACAAGGGCAAACTCATCCAAGGAGACGTCATTTGCATCCTAGACGTGTATGTTTATGACGGCAAATTTTCTGAATCTCGAGGAAGGGGCAGCATTGATCTGTTCGCACAAAGGCACCATAGGGGCTAACAGTGTCAGAGGGCTCAGACCCTGCTTCCTTCAGGGGTCCTCCCAGGAGCCAGTGCCAGGACAACCTGCTGGTTTTAACTGGGAGATCCAATCCACCCCCTTTTCCTGAAGCCTCCCTCCAAGGCCTGCCACACACCACTTGGGAGGGGGGAATCAGGCAGGCATGGGGGAGCCCCCCATTAAGTCCCTAAGGCCCAATTTCCCCCAAGTCCTGGCCCCTCTGGCACTCTGGAAGCGGTACTGTATCTCTCTCCAAGGCCTGTTCAAGCACTAAGTGCATTTACGAATCTCTGAGAATGTTTTTTTTTATATACTAAAATTGACCATTATATTCTACTGTGAGAAGTACGGTCTGCACTATATTGTTTTAAAAACGAAGAGAAAGAAAAAAAAAGGAAAACACAGATGGTGTCTCAGCTGTGGGATTGTTTCGTTAAGCTCTTGTGTTTGTCCGTTCTTCCTTCCTTCACGGCCCCCAACCCTTCCCCCGCCAGGAGTAAATCGGGCTGTCTTCTTCCCCGACAGGGCTCAGAGCCCTGGGGAGCAGGACGGGAGTCTCCTGGCACCCCCTCTGCTGGTCCACTTTGTAGGCGATATTTCATTTGCTGCCCTAGGTCTTCTGACCCCGTTGACGTGTCAGCCACTCACCAGGGCCAGCGATCAGTCTATAGGGCAGCCGAGACAGAGCCGAGCCTGGGCCCTCTGGCTCATTCCCTGAGGGGTACGGAGGTGGGCTGGGGTTGGTGCCCCCAGCGTCACTAAACTCCCTCCTCAGTGCCTGGCACCCTCTGTGCTTCCCCGGAGGCAGTGTGACTTGGGGACAGGCCAAAGTGGCTGAGCAGTGGCCATCTCCCTGGCCAGCCCCAGCACATACCCACCCCGTTTCCCGGGGGCCTGGCGATGTCCAGGAGACCACCCTTGCCCTGGGATGCTCAGCGTGTATCAGGCGCTTACTGGGCATTCTCCTATACACAGCATCCCTTGGGAGCCTCGCCACTGCTTGTAAGGTGTGCTGTGCTAAGTCACTTCAGTGGTGTCTGTCTGTTGTGACCCCATGGTCTGTAGCCCGCCAGGCTCCTCTGTCCATGAGGATTCTCCAGGCGAGAATACTGGAGTGGGTGGCCATGCCCTCCTCCAAGGGATCTTCCCCACCCAGGGATGATCCTGCGTCTCTTAAGCCGACTGCGTAGGCAGGCGGGCTCTTTACCACTAGCACCACCTGGGAAGGAAGCTTGTAAGGTAGGGGGTGTTCTAGAGGAAGAAGCTGAGGCTCAGAGATGTGAAGTGACCTGCCTGAGGTCACACAGCAAGTCTGCAGAAAGTTGGGATTCAAACCCCACAGCATAGACTCTTATTCACATCCTGCCTCCCTGACCTGCTGGCCCAATGTCTGAACAGAGGGGATGAGGGGGTGTCCCCAGTCTCATTCAGGCCTGCCCGCTCATGCATGTAGCCCGTCTGGATGCATGGCAGGGTTTGGGGAAGAAGAGGGACAGAGGGGACACCCTGGATGTGACCTTGCAGTGGGGACATCCACCTCCCTAAGGCCAGGCCCCAGAGCCTGGTAGCACATGGAGGCTTCAAGAAGAGGCTGTGTCCAGGGCAGGACCCAGGCCCTTCTGAGCTGGGTCAGTGAGCCAGACTTGTCACCAGGGCCTGAAGAGCAGGAGAAGGGGTCCGGCTGGGTGACAGGCTAGGGGAGCTATCGCTGCATGAAAGGCCACTGGTGGTGGTTGTTTTAGTCATTATGTCTGACTTTTTCAGACCCTGTGGACCATAGCCCACCAGGCTCCTCTGTCCATGGGATTTCCCAGGCAAGAATACTGGAGCGGGTTGTCATTTCCTTCTCCAGAGGATCTTCCTGAACGAGGGATCAAACCCATGTCTCCAGCATTGGCAGGTGGAGCCTTTACCACTGAGCCACCAAGGAGCCTTAAGGCGTGATCACAGACAGGATGCAAAGGAGCGCGGACCTCATGTAACCGAGTTTCACAACAGCCCTCAGGTCATAATAAGATCATCCCCATTTTACAGATGAGGACACAGAGGATCTGAAAAACAGTCACAAGGAAAATAAGAGGGAGGCGGGTTCTGGCATGAGGCCCCACACTTGGGGCCAGGCTGCCCCCAGACATTCTACCTTCATGCGTCCCTGAAGCTCACCAGGGGCATCGCAGCGCTATCCTGGAGGGAGCTAGCCTCTGGAGGGAGCATGCCCTGGGTACAATGACCCAGAACCAGTCCATCCCCAAAGAGGGCAACGCCAGAACCAGGGATGGAATTCAAGGAGACCACAGTGTGGGTACTTGGGAGAGGACAGAGCAGGTTCAGCACTGGGGGTGGGCCACCACTATGGCCACCTCAGCACCAATTCTAGGTAGCCCAGGTCCTGGGCCCACCAGCAGGCCTGCCAAGCAAGGGGACAGAGACTGCAGCCACCGTCCAAGCCAGGTCCCTGACATCCGGGGTGAGGACCCGTCCCCTATCAGAGGAAAACCTCCTGTCCCCTCTGCAGGCCGAGTGAAGAAGCAAGGAGGTGGGGCCACGGAGCACAGCCAGTCTGGGCCTGACCCCAGGATCCAGCTGGGGTTCTCACTCCGTCCTAGCACCAGCTCCCTGGGTGCCTTGGCCCGGTTTCTTCTCCCTGGGAGCTGAGGGAGCTGAGCTCAAAGGGCCCTCCAGCCTCCTTAAAACCACATAGAGGAGCAGTGCAGGTGATAATGATGTCATCACTTCAATTACCGACAGCCCTGTTACTGCAGGCAGAGAGGCCCCAAGGCTCCGCGCTAAGCAGTAGGTAGGTCTCGCCACAGTTCAGGTGTACGTGGTATATTTGAGGCCAACAGACCAGAGAAGGGCGATCACTTTGCCTAACGTCACACAGTTGAGGATGGAGCTCAGAGAAGGGGGCGGCGCAGGGGCAGAACACCGGCCTTCTGATTCAGAATCGAAGCTCTTAACTGCTATGCAGACTAAAACCACCACTGACCCCGAACAAGGCTTATGTGGCTCCAGAACGCAGGTCCAGCCTTGGTTCCCGCGCCTTGTGCTGCTGGGACCTCCTGTGGGTGCCGGAGACAGAGAGGAGCCGCCTGCTCCCCTACCAGGGCTGCCCACCTTCCCTTTATAAGGACACTAGAAGCTTCTCCCTCTCTGGGTAGTTGTCTGGGCTTCATCCCTAGTTACAGCTGAGCTCTCTAGTTCCACAGCCATGCGCTGGAACCACGTATATTACTACCAGTTCCCATCATAACAACAGAAGATCACTCCATCTTCCAGAGGCCTCACATGCGCAGGAGGGCTTAGGCAAAACTTTAAGTGTGGGGGAGTCCATGGCAGGGACACTCACCTTTGCAGGGTGGCTCCATGTCTTCTGGTCTCATCCCAACCTTTAGATTCTGCCCCTATTTCCATCCCCGCCTGGCCTCCAAGCAGCGACTTGGACCTTGCTCCGCAGCGCTGAGCTGCACCTGGGACTCCACGTGCCCTGCGCCCGGGTTGCCCCTACCTGTGCTGTAGTGCGCATGCACGTCCCGGGAGTCTTTAAAGGGCCCACACAGTCGCTACCGGGTCCCCATCGCTGGCCATTGGAAGGTGGGGCCCAGCTACGGTGGGTGGGCAAGCCCGGGGGAACAAAAGGTTTTTTTGTTTAAATCACCACTTGCTCACCAGAGAGTGGCAAGGGGAGAGGAGGAGGCAGGAGGCAGGACTCAATGTGTGGCCCTGGGCCTCGGTCAGGAGTGGTGGTGGCATTTGAAGGGCTGTGACAGCATCAGGTGATGAGTGACCAGGAGGACAGGGCAAATTGGTGCTGTAAGTGGGACCCACCCCCCTACCCCTCCACCAGAACAGTGGGGCCCAGGGGTTCCAATCCTGAGGCTGCCTCCCACCAGCATGTGGCCTTTGGCGAGTGACTGCCTCTCTTTGAGCCACCTGTTTCTCAAGTGTAAAGTGAGCCTGCTATTACAAAGCATGTGCCACATGGGGCTGAACAGGGGGAAAGGGTCGTCAAGTCCGTGGGGCTTCCCTGGCGGCTCAGTGGTAAAGAATCTGCGTGCAATGCAGGAGACCTGGGTTCAATCCCTGGCTCAGGAAGAGGCCCTGGAAGAGGGTATGGCAACCCACTCCAG